CAGGCGACGGGTCGGGGCCGGGGAGGGCCGCGTTCAGCCGGACCGCCCTCTTCCGGTTCGCTGGCGGCCTCTGGCGCCCAAGAGGTATCAGCGCCGAGCTGGGGATCGCGCCGACCTGGGCTGCCGTCGAGGTGCGTCCCCAGAGAGCCAAGCCAACGCATTGACTAAACCAAGGCGGAGGCTCTGCGCCGTTTTCGGCCTCTGGAGGCCCCCAGCCGGCCCTGGGACCGTCGGAAAACGACTCGGGATGAGAAGCCAGTCCCTGGGAGTGGGTCGAAACTTCTGGGGACCCCGTAGTGAAAAAATCGAGGCATCGGATCTCTGAGTCATGGTGCCCTCGGGGGCGTCGAGGCCCGCGCTTAGGGCACCCAGGGCAGCAGCTCAAGGCGAACAGGTCTAAAGGCGGCCCAGCCCTGCACGGGTCGGCAGCCGATGACGAGGGGCTGCTCTAGCTCTCGGCGCTGGGCCTTTTCAAGGGCCGGGCCAAAGCGCAGCGGACGGCGTTGGCAGCGGTCGGCGCCTTGCCAGGCGCCCGCGGGCCAATCGGACACTGCTCGGAGCTGGGCCCCTGGCCCGCCGCTCCTACGCTGCATCACTGCAGCCGCGCAGAGCACCACGCCGGACGCGAGTTCTGGCCCCCAGCCTGCTGCCCCGAGACGCCCCTCTGCGAGCACAACTGAGAGGGGCAAGGATAGGGGTGCACTGGCACAGGAGGGGAAGCCTCGAAGCGGAATCGGCGATGTATCGCCGATGCACCGGCGAGAGGCCGCCGATGGCGAAACTGCACCTGCCTGGGAGGAACGGGGCGGGCCAGCAGGCCCCCATCGGCGACCGAATGGCGATTGGGGGCCGATGCATCCCCCCTCTGTGCCCACCCACCCCTCCTCCTCCTCCTCCTCCTCCTCCTCCTCCTCCTCCTCCTCCTCCTCCTCCTCCTCCTCCTCCTCCCTCCTCCTCCTCCTCCTCCTCCTCCTCCTCCTCCTCCTCCTCCTCCTCCTCCTCCTCCTCCTCCTCCTCCTCCTCCTCCTCCTCCTCCTCCTCCTCCCCACTGCCCCTGAACAGTGCTTGCGCCCTGCTCTCTCGCAGCCTCCAGGATGACGGCGACGGCCCAGGCTGCGCGGCGGGCCGTCCGTCCGCCGGTGTGTCCAGGGGCCCCGGGGCCGCCTGGCGCGGGACCGGCGGCAGGCGAGCCGCCCGGTGGCGGTGGCGGCGACTGCCTGCCGGGAAGCGGCGGCGCCGCCCCTGCGGCCAGCGGCTGGGCTGAGGGGCAACGAGAAGGGGGGACTGGCATACGGGGGGGAAACGTCGACCCCGAATCGGCGACACATCGCGCCGATAGCTCGGCGACAGGCCCCCGATGGTGAATTCGCACCTTTTTGGGCAGGTTTGGGCTATCGAGCCCCCATCGGCGATCAATGGGCGATGAGGGGTCGATGCATCCACCCCTATGCCTATCCCCCCCTATCGTTGTCCCTGATGGGCTGGCCCACGCGAAATGCTGGGCTGGCGCCCATCGCATTGCGTAGACGCGCCAGAGACACGCAGCGCCAGGCGCTGGCTGCGGCACCCTTCCCCCCTCAAGTTCTCGGCGAGGGAGACGGGTGCCCGACCCGAGGGCGCCACGGAAGTTGCACTCCCGCCCCAGAAAGCCTTCGGTGAGGCCTTTCAGGGCTGAAGCCTTTCTCCTCCCAACCCTCGATCACTGGGGGCATTCGTCATATGTGCGCAAGCGGAGTAGCTGAAGTGAAGATGCCGACGAGGCCGCGGCAACGCGCGCCCGTGCACGCGCGCAAAGCACCCGACGCAGGCACAGGAACTCGCTGCGTCGCCAAAGGCAGGCGCATTCGTCTGAGGCGTTGGGTTTCACCATCTCGCTGCCCGCAGAAGCGGCCTTGCACTTTTTCTGAATATCCTCCGCCCCCACTGCCTTTCGCCGTTGGGGTCCCCGCTGACGCCGTCGCATTATCCGAGGCAACTGCGTTTGAATGTTGGCGATAGATTTCGCCGTTGTGCTGCTGCTGACGCAATGACCTGAATCTCTTGCATCCCGGTAACTGCTGGAGACGTTAATGCGTGCGTGCACGAAGCTAAGGGATGAGCCACATGTAGAAAACGTGCCAGTCACCATCCGAGTGTTGGAACTTCGTACGACCCATGTGATAGACACGGGCCGAAAAACGTGCGACACTCCTCGCGTGCAACTGCTGCACATTCCAGCCGAAGAAACAGAGGCTGTAAGCAAACCGCCCAGACCACCCTTTAGACACGTCTGGGTGGTGCGTCGATGGGGTACTACGATGTATGGGTAAGAGGGGTGGGGATTGTGAAGAAGAGGCGGAGAGAGGACGGAGGAGGAGGACGGAGGAGGAGGACTAAGGGCCAGAGGTGGAGCAGGATGACGCACAGGAGGAGATGGAGGACATTGAGGAGGAGAAGAACAAGCCAGAGGAGGAGGAGGAACTGGAGGAGGAATGGAAGGACACGGGAGAAGCAGGAGGCAGAGGAGCCAGAGAAACCAGAGGAGGCGCATGAGGAAAAAAATCGCAGGAGAACGCCGAGGAGCCGAAAAAGCTGAAGCCTGGAGCCAAAAATCTAACTCGGAATCGTTGGAGGGGTGGAGGTGGAGGTGGAGGAGGTAGAGGAAAAGAGGGAGGATGAACTTCCTTGCCAGAGCGAGTGAACGCAAGACGAGGAAGAAGACGAGGACGACGACGAGCCAGGTGAGCAGGATCCAGAGGAGGCGGAGGAAGACGACGAGGTGGAGGAGCTGGAGGAGGAGATGCAGAAGGCACCCATATACCACCACCACCACCGCTGCCATTTGGCGGCGCGCGCAAGGGGGTAGGGGGAGGGGGGAAGGCTTCTTAAAGGAGGCCGCTGCTTAGCAGGCAAAGGCCCTGCATCTACAGACAAGACCCGCGCCTTCTGAGAAGCGGGCGTGCCTTTAAGAAGCCTTCCCCCCGCCCCATGCCCCCCTCGGCGCGTGGCCGAAGTGAATCACCCGACGCTGTGGTCACTGGACCGTTCTGGGACTCCCGGCCATGTCATCGGGTGTTGCTAGAAGTGCCCCTGGCCCAAGGTGCCCCCAGCTTTTCGCTGCAGCTTGGAGCCCCTGGGGTCCTCTGGGCCTCGTGAGGGGTGCCCTGGAGGCCGCCTGGGCCACCCCGAGAATCCTGCGGGTGCCTTGGGCCAGGGGCACTTCTAGCAACACCCGGTGCCAGGGCCCGGGACGGCCCTGGCCAGGCATGCCAGTGTTGAGTCGGACCTGTCCCCCTACAGGCCGACTTTGGACGAAAATTGTCTCAGTGCGACCCTACCTAGGAGTTGGAGCATCTAGGAAAGCAACATCTACATCTACACCGACAGCTACATTAACATCTACACCTGCATCTACATCTACATCAACATCAACAGCGAGACTCACATCTACATCTACATCTACATCTACACCTGAATCCACATATACACATATACCTACATCTACATCTCCATCTACGATTTCGCATTGCTATGCTATGCTATGCTATGCTGCTATGCTATGCAATGCTATGCTATGCTATGCTGCGATATGCTATGCTATGATATGATATGCTATGCTGCGCTATGATATGCTATGCTAGGCTATGCTGTGATATGATATGCTGCGCTATGATATGATATGATATGATATGCTATGCTGCGCTATGCTATGATATGATATGCTGCGCAATGTTATGAGTTGCTATGATATGGTGTGTTGCGTGATGATATGATATGCTGTGCTACGCTATGATATGCTATGATATGGTATGATATGCTGCGCTGTGCTATGCTAAGCTAAGCTATGCTATGATATGCTATGGTTTGCTATGCTATGCTGCGCTATACTATGCTATGGTATGATATGTTATGATATGATATGCTGCGCTATGCTATGCTGCGATATGCTATGCTATGCTATGCTATGATATGCGAATGCTGCACTGCGCTAAGCTAAGCTGAGCTAAGCTAAGCTAAGCTAAGCTAGGCTAGGCTAAGCTAAGCTAAGCTAAGCTAAGCTAGGCTAGGCTGGGCTAAGCTAAGCTAAGCTAAGCTAAGTTTAGTTAAGCTAGGCTACGCTAAGATGAGATAAACAAAGCTAAGCTAAGGGGGTGTGGTGCTGTGCTGTGCTGCGCTAAGCTCGGCACCAGCTGCTCAACATGAGCTAGCGCTGTGCTATGCTGTGTTGTGCTGTGCTGCGCTACGCTATGCTATGTTATGTTATGCTGCGCTATGCTATGCGATGCTGGTTTATGTTATGATATGCTATGCTGCGCTATGCTATGCTACGCTATGCTATGCTATGCTGTGCTCTGCTGTGCTAAAGCTCAGCGAAGCTAAGATGAAGGTAAGCTAAGCTAAAATAAACCTGAGCTAAGATGAAGCTAAGCTAAGCTAAGTTGAAATAAGCTAAGCTGAGATGAGATAAGCAACGCTAAGCTAAGGCGACGTAACTGGGGGAACCGCGGGGCGGATGCCGGGGGAACCGCCCGGGGCGATTTGCACTGCCCGGCCCCTTTAAGCTCAGAGAGTAAGAAACCTTCTAGGCAGAGCCTAGGTAGGGAAATTGAAATACCCAAACAATACCCTAAAAATGCTCAAAAATGGTCAAAACATAGTCCCCAGACTATTTGTTTGACTGTTTTTGAATACTCCCCCTGTAGAGGGACAGGCCCGACTTCATGCCAGTGGTGCAGGTCCCTCGGGTAGGGAGACGAGGCTCCCCCCGCCCGTGCGCCGGGAGCGGCAACGAGGTCCAGATCAAGAAGAAGGCTCGCACTGCACGAAGGCAGGTGGCATCCGAGTGCGGTCAGCCCGCAGAGTATCAGGGTGCGCGATGAGGATGCCGAGGCCCTGGACGCCCATTGCACGAAGACAGGTGGCATCCGAACACGGTCAACCCGCAAAGCATAAGGGTGCGCGATGAGGATGCCGGGGCCCTGGACGCCCCTTGCGCAGCTGTTCGAGCGGGCCGCGGCCAACGAAAGCGGCCAGGGATGGGCCGAGAAGGCAAGGATGCAAGGGTACCTTCAGGGAGGTTGCCCATCCTTACTATGCGGGTTGACTGTATCGTTTAACCGATTTCCATCCCCAGTGGCGTGGCCTGGGCCCCACTGGCCGATCTACCAACCTCGATGGGGATATAGGCCGTTTCCTTCCGGTTCCGAGGGTGTATCCCCAACTGGGGGGGTAACTTGGTGGGGGTCTCGAGGGGGACGGGGATGGGGATGGGGATTGGCTAGACGATACCGAGCATCTATGCCCATCTTCTTCCTGCTCTTGAGATGGTCGAACAAAAACGTGCGCGCGAAACCCCACATTCTCAACGAGTCCTCGTGGCCATCTCGGACCCTCCCAAAGCGGGACAACCCAGGAGCGTATCGGAAAGTCGGATCGGCCATCGAGATACATCGGATCGGCAGAAATCGGCAGATCGGAGGCCATCAAAACCGACGTCCGCCAGCCAGAGCCAAAGTGCGCACGAGGGAATCAAGACCGAAGTCGGAATCTGGAGCCGAATCGCTCCTCAGCCCGAATACTTGAAACCGAATCGATTCGAATCGACAATCGATAATGCTCCTCCCTTATGCAGGAGGGGGCGAAAGGGGGGACCGGCCCCGGGAGGGGGAAGCATCAACCTGAAAACGGCGAAATCAACAACAGGCCGCCGATGGCCGAACCGGACGCTCCTGGGCGGGGTGGGCCATCGGCGCCTGTCGGCGATGCATGGGCGATTTGGTGTCGATGCATCCCCGCCGCGAGCCTATCCCCTCGCAACGTTGCCCCTGACGTGTGGCGTGGCAGATCACATCGTCTTCGTGGTCCTCCTCATCTCCTGGGCCCCCCCTCACCATCTGGTGGCTCAACGTTGCTCATCGCCTTCACGGTGGACTTCTTCCCCCTGGACGTCGACCTGTTCACGTCCTTCCGCACGCAGCACTTGAGGATGGTGTTTTCGATGCGCCGTTGACGGCAACACCACACCGCTCACCCTCCGGGACTTCGCCTCCGGCTCCTGTCCAAGGCGTTCCTTTTCCTGTGCAAGCTCCTCAGCACCGCCTGCACCCCGCACCTTCCGGCCGCCTGAGGCCCCGCCCGCCTGTGCTCTGTCTCCCCAATTAGTGCTTTGCGCGGCCCGCCTAGCTCTTAACCGGAAGAGGCTCGCTCTCGACCCGCAGACCAAGAGTGGCGTGGGCAGCCACTCCGCGTAAGCAACGCACGCGGGCAGACGAGCAAACGGAAGCCAGCGAGAGAGCGGAGAGTGGAGTGGAGGGTGACGAGACGAGACGAGAGCTCCTCGCACAGCCCTGCGCGTGAGCCCCACGCGGATGGGAAAAGGAGTGAGGTGGAGTGCGAAAACGACCGCGCGACCAAGGCAGTCTCGAGCCCTCCCAGATGAAGGGGCCCTGGGACACACAAATAAATACACACAAATAATAGGACTCCCCATATTTTCCCATATTTTCTTGTTTTTTTTGTCTTCCCCCCACTTCCCATATTTCCTGTGTTTTCTGGGGAATCGACGATAAATTGTGTCTGTGTGTTTTTCCCCTCCTGACAAGAGCGCTCCTGGCCCGCGCGCTGCTGCAGCAGGGCGGCCAGCGCGGGCCGGAGCGCCGGCCGGGACTTGGCCAGCCTCTGCAGCATCATCTCCGCCTGCGGCCGGGAGTACTGCTGCGCGGTGAGGACCTGGCGGGGGAGGCCCGGGCGGAGAAAATATCGGCCAGCGTTGACTCCAGATAGATAGGAGGACAGGAGGAGGACGAGGGGAGGACGGGAGGAGGACGAAAGGAGGACGGGAGCAGGGCGAAGGAGGGCAAGCCTAGCTGGAGAATAAGACTGCTCTTTTTTGTCGCTGTCGACCTCCGGGGGCGCCCGACCCCGTACAATGTATGGGGGAATCCGGGGACTGCGGGGGGTGAGGGGCAGGGGCGGAGGATACAGCGGGATCACAAAGGGGGGATTGGGGGTATGGAAGGGGGAAGAGGAGGAGGAGGAGGAGGAGGAGGAGGAGGAGGAGGAGGAGGAGGAGGAGGAGGAGGAGGAGGAGGAGGAGGAGGAGGAGAGGGAGGAGGAGGAGGAGGAGAAGGAGGAGGAGGAGGAGGAGGAGGAGGCGGGGATGAGGGTGTGAACAGGGAGGAGGAAAGGGGGACCAGCGTTCGGCCAGCGGCGCTGACGCTGGCTCCGCATACAATGGAACATAACAAGGGGTCCAACCGATGAGTTTGACACATAAAGTCACGCACGCATTGTGCATTGTGTGTCACGTATAATGTTCCACGCATACGTTGCATCCCACGATGTCACACGCGGAGAGTGCACCCATAATCTGCTCTACGCAGGTTTCGCCACGCAAAATAAACGGAATTGGCTGCACGTAATCATCAGTTGGGGTCGATGAGTCGGCGCACTGGCATAAGTCCGACGTTTGTATCTACCTCAATTACCTCCAGGAGGTTGTAGCTAGTCAGTTGGCGTTGTAGCACATTCATGGGCCATCGCTCAATGATACAAACGACTTGCAAATGATTGCCATAGCGAAAGATTGAGGTGGTGGTCCGTCACTGATGATCAAATCGCAGACGCACTTCTGGATTCCGAAGCGGTTACGTGACGCCTATCTCGTCACCCTCAAATCCTCGATCGGCCTTGGCAGAATCATCTCCATCGAATATGGGAGCCGACACAGGCTTCGTGCTATCGGTGAAGCTGAAGAGGGTAACTAGCAAGGCGAAAGACCCAACCACATGCAGCTGTGAGCACCGTCGCTGTATGTACCGCATTCAGGGGGGCTCCCTGGCTGGGGCCACGAAACTTGTGATGTGCGTGCCTACATGCAACGGGGCGTCGGTGGAGCTCCTTATGGGGCCACGAAACGCGTGAAGGGTGTGCCAAAAAGGGTGCGGTGGGCGCATGCGAACGCAGCCACTGGGGCCGTCGGTGGGGGTCCCTATGGGGCCACGAAACGTGTGAAGGGTGTGCCAAAATTGGCGCAGCGGGCGCATGCGAAAGCAGCCACTGGGGCCGTCGGTGGGGTTCCCTATGGGCCCACGAAACGTGTGAAGGGTGTGCCAAAATTGGCGCAGCGGGCGCATGCGAAAGCAGCCACTGGCGCCGTCGGACGAGATCCCCATGGGGCCACGAAACGTGTCAGGGGTGTGCCAACATGGGTGCGGTGGGCGCATGCAAACGCAGCCACCGGGGCCGTCGGTTGAGTTCCCCGTGGTGCCACGAAACGTGTGAGTGGTGTGCCAAAATGGGCGCGGTGGGCGCATGCGAACGCAGCCACTGGAGCCGTCGGTGGAGCTCCTTGCGGGGCTACGAAGCGTATGATGGGGTTTGCAAAAATTAGTGCGGTGCGCGCATGCGAACGCAGCCACTGGGGCTGTCGGTGTAGCTCACAATGGGGCCACGAAACGAGTGAGGGGCGTGCCAAAATGGGTGCGGTGGGCGCATGCGACCAAGCCATTGGGGCCGTCGGTGGAGCTCCCTACTGGGCCACAAAACGCATGAGGGGTGTGCCAAAATGGGCGCGCTGGGCGCATGCGAACGCAGCCACTGGGGCCGCAGGTGGAGCTCCTTGTGGGGCCACCAACCGTATGAGGGGTGTGCCAAAGTGGGTGCGGTGGACGTATGCAAGCACAGCCATTGGGGCCGTCGGTGGAACCCCATGGTGCCCAAAAAGGCGCGGAGTGTGCCAACATGCAGCTGGGGCCGTCGGTGGGGCTCCCCATGGGGCCACGAAACGCATGAAGGTGTGCCAAAATGGGTGCGGTGGGCGCATGCGAACGCAGGCACTGGGGCCGTCGGTGGGGTTCCCTATGGGGCCACGAAACGTGTGAGGGGTGTGCCAAAATTGGCGCGATGGGCGCATGCGAACGCAGCCACTGGGGCGTCGGTGGAGCTCCCCATGGGGCCACGAAACGTGTGAAGGGGCCGCATGCCAACCCTGGCATTTGGGCCTTCCCGCGAAACGTGTGAGGTGTGCAAGCGTTGGGAGAAGGGAGGAAGAGAGGAGGGGAGGAGAGGAGAGGAGAGGAGAGGAGAGAGGAGAGAGGAGAGAGGAGAGAGGAGAGAGGAGGAGAGGGAGAGAGGAGAGAGGAGAGAGGAGAGAGGAGAGAGGAGAGAGGAGAGAGAGAGGAGAGAGGAGAGAGAGAGGGAGAGAGGAGAGGAGAGGAGAGAGAGAGGAGAGGAGAGGAGAGGAGAGGAGAGGAGAGGAGAGGAGAGGAGAGGAGAGGAGAGCGGGGCGCTGTTCAAAACGAGGACCCAACACCAAAGGATAGTTGGGAAAAGACACACTGGACTAACACACGTCCCGAGGATCATCGACACAATCATGGCCACATATTAACGCAAGCCCCACTCGTCGCAAGCGAAAGAGGCTGATGAGACCATGCCGGATTATCGCCGATCCCTTGTGGCTGCGATCGGTCCTGTCGGCCTCCCCTCCCCTGCCCCCTTTCCACTCTGTCCCTCTCCTCTGCCAGAGGAGGGAAACCCTAACCAGGCCAAGGAGGGAGGGAGCGATCTGGGCCTGGTGCGGACTTTCCCTCGAGAGGGGAACCCTGGCAAACCGAGGAGAACTCCCCCTCTTCTTGGGTCTGGAATAGGGTCCCCTGTCGTCTGATCTCAGCGGCGAACCCAGGGAGGAAGTGAGAGGGGGCAGGCCATTTGAGAAGCCTTGCGAGCCTCCTCCAAGCCACAGACGACTCCTCAGAAGGCGCGAGGGCATCTGAGAAGTCCCGCCGCCTCCTGAGAAGACCTGTCCCCTCTCACTCCCCCATGGGCTCGCCGCCGGTGATCTCCGCCCCTCCCCTCGCACCCCTCCCCACGACAAGCTCGACTCGTGACGACGCCCGAAGTTGCTCTCCGCACCGCGTGCACCGCTCCACCCCCCGGGAGCGGCCGCGGCTACCCGACGGCGCGAGCTGCTCGATGCCAACCGACCCTGTGGCCAGGCCGCTCGAGAGGAGCTCAAGCTCGAACGCCCGCGCCGCGGCGGCGGCCCGCGTCGACACGACTCGGGACGAGCATCGTGCTGCGTCGTGGCACTGGAGCCTTCGCGTCCGTCTGTCGTGCGCTGCAGTGGCCGCGCGCCAACGTAGCGCCCAAGATCGGTCTCCGAAGAGCGCGCTGTCCCCTGTGAGGCGACCCCCCTGCGAGGGCCCCTTCTGTATCCTGCTGTGCACACCATACTCCTGCCAGGGCTTCTTCGGTGCACGCTATCCCCAAGGTGGGGGATAGCGTGTAAAGAGCGGGCCAGCGGTGCCACCTCGCACGCTATCTTTACATCGCCAACCGTACGGCCTTCGCTAGTCGCTCGCCCCGGCCACACAGCGTGCGCGGCGCTACTACTCGCGGCGCCTGGACAAACCTCGTCCGAAATCGATGCCTCTCTCTCTCTCTCTCTCTCGATCTCTCTATCCCATCCTATGCCTCCCCCGTATATGCGGCACGTTGAGGCGTGGAAGACTGCCAAGAGCTGCCTGGCAGGAGTTCTGTAGTCTTCTAGGGGACCCCCCACCCGCTCTGGTAGCACCCACCTGACTGCACCACCCCTACTCCCAGGGAGGTCCTTGGCGGCCATGGCGCCTCCCTGGAGCTCTCCAAGGCTTCCATGACGGCCAAGTACGCCCTCAAGACGGTCCATGACGGCCCCGAGTCGCCGAACGATCGAAGACGCCCAAAATGGCCTCAAAATGGCCCAAGAGGCCTCCAAGACGCCCCAAGACGCCTCCAAGAGGAACTCCCAAGAGGGCCCCAAGAGGCCAAAATCATTGATTGTCTTAAGGTTTTTGAAAGATGTTCGCGTTCCTGTCGTTTCGGCTTTCCAATTCTTCAAGACGGCCCTAGAGGCCCTCAAGACCACCCCAAAACGGACCAAGACGGTCCAAGAGGAGCCGAAGACGGCCCAAGAGGATTCCAAGACAGCACCAAAAGGAGCACAAGAGAGGAAGCACGAACCGAAAATCCGAGCCATCCGCCCCAGCCCCTAAAAAGACCCGCAGGAGGCACCTAAGAGGCCACAAGAGGCCCCATAAGATGCCCAAAAGAGTCCCCGAGAGGCCCCAAGACGGCCCCCAAGAGGCCTCAAACTGCCTGCGAGAGGCCCCCGAGAACCCTCCCGCGAGATCCCAACGAACATCCAGCAGGCTTCATACCCACAGCCCGGGACTTGCCGTACGCAGCTGGATACTCTCCCTCACCTGCCCCACCCACCTCCGCACCCACGTCCCTGCAGGAGCAGCAGGCCTGGATCGCGCGCTCCAGCGCGTCGACGGACTCTGCAAAGTCCTGGGACTCCGCCAAGAACTCCTCAAGCGGGGTTCTGACGATACATGAGAAGCGAAATGAGGTACAGTGGAGGCCAGTCCACAAGAAACCCTCCACAAGAAACCCAACCCTGAGACCCCAGGACGTCCATGGATGTTCCGCGTGGGAACGGCACGCTTTCCATAGCAAAACCCTCGAAGCCCAAAGAAACCCAGGGCACCCTGGAGGCGAGCAGGGTGTTTCTTGGCATGGGCCTCCACTGTATTTTGGGTGAGAGGGGGACGAGACAGACGGAGAACACGCGAGCCATCGCATCTCTCCACACTCCGAGTGCCGAGCTTACGCCATCTCCCCCAGCCTGCCATGCCCGATATACAAACAACCTGGGCTCGGGCAGCCAGGCAAACGCATGCGTCACGGAATCGGCGCAAGAACCGCATCAGGAAAAAAAGGGGAAGAGGAGGATGAGGCGGACGGAAGAGGGAAGCGACAGGGGAGTCGCGACGAGGGGAAAGCGGGCCTCAGGGTAGCGACCATTACCACTTGCGCCACCTGAGGACCCACTCGACAAGGTTGCAGGGGGGGACGGGGGAAAGGGACGAGGGAGGGAGGCCAACTCTTCCGACTCCTCCTGCTGCTGCTGCTGCTGCTGTTAATCGTCCTCCTCATCCTCCAGCCTCCTCGGCCGTCAGACTCCTCGTACGCTTTTTCCCATACTCACCATCAGCATTGTCACCACCGACAGTCACCATAGCCTACTATCAGAATCGCAATCGCCTTTATGGTCATCATCAGTATCAGCATCAGCATCAGCATCAGCATCAGCATCAGCATCATCAGCATCATCATCATCATCATCATCATCATCATCATCAGCATCAGCATCAGCATCAGCATCAGCATCAGCATCATCATCAACATCATCAGCATCAGCATCAGCATCAGCATCAGCATCATCATTAACAACTTCAATCTTCATCATCATCATCATCATCATCATCATCATCATCATCATCATCATCATCATCATCATCATCAGCATCATCATCATCATCATCATCATCATCATCATCATCATCATCATCATCATCATCATCATCATCATCATCATCATCATCATCATCATCATCGTCATCGTCAGCATCATCAGCAGCATCATCATCATCATCATCATCATCATCATCATCATCATCATCATCAACATCATC